GTTTGTAGTAATTCCTGATGATTCTTTTTACTTCTGTGGTATCCACTGATCTCCTTTTTTATCTCTGATTTTATTGATTTGGGTCTTTTCCTTCTCTCTCTCTCTCTCTCTCTTAGTGTATCAGTCTTGTTTATTTATTTTTTTAAACCAGCTCTTTATTTCACTGAGATATATATATATGTACATATATATTATGTCTCAATTTTGCTTATTTCTTCTTTAATTTTTGATTATTTCTTTCCTTCTACTAATTTTGGGTTTGGTTTGTTGTTGTTTTTCCAGGTCCTTGAGATGCTTTAAAAGCTCATTTATTTGATGTGTTTCCAAATTTATTGATGCAGGCACTAATTGCTGTAAATTCCCTTCTTAACACTACTTTTGCTGTATCCTGTAAGTTTTGATATGTTATATTGTCATCTTCATTCTTATAGAGAAATTGTTTGATTTCCCTTTTGATTTTTTTCTATGAGCCTCTGTTCATTCAGGACTCTGTTCAGTCTCCATGTGTTGGCATATTTTCTAGAGGTTCTTAAGTTTTTAATTTCCAGCTTCATTCCATTGTGGTCAGAAATGGTATATGGTGGGGCCGGTGCCATGGCTCACTTGGTTAATCCTCCGCCTGCGGTGCCGGCATCCTGTGGGTGCCCCGTTCTAGTCCCGGTTGCTCCTCTTCCAGTCCAGCTCTCTGCTATAGCCTGGGAGGGCAGTGGAGGATGGCCCAAGTGCTTGGGCGCCTGTACCTGCATGGGAGACCAGGAAGAAGCACCTGGCTCCGGGCTTCAGATCAGCATAGCTCTGGCTGTAGCGGCCATTTGTGGGGTGAACCAATGGAAAGAAGACCTTTATCTCTGTCTCTCTCTCTCACTGTCTAACTCTGTTAAATAAATAAAAAATATTTTAAAAAAAGAAATGGTACATGGTACTTTTTTCAATTTATATGAATTTGATGAGACTTGCTTTATGGCCTGGCATATGGTCTATCCAGAGAAAATTCCGTGCACTGGTGAAAATGTGTATTCTGCTGCTGCGGGTTGGAATGTTTGTAGGTAGTCAGGTCCGTTTGGTCCATAATGTAGATGAGCACTGTTGATTCTTGTTGATTTTCTGTCTAGTTGATCTGTCCACTGATGAAAGTGGGGTGTTGAAGTCCTCCATTACTATTGTATTGGAATCCATATCTCCCTTTAGATCCATTAACATTTGTTGTAAATAGCCAGGCACCCTGGTACTGGGTGCATATACATTTATTATAGTTACGTCTTCCTGTTGAATTGATCCTTAGTCATTAAATAATGCCCTTCTTTGTCTCTTCTAACAGTATTTGTGTTAAAGTCTATTTTTCCTGATATTAGGATAGGTACAATTGCTCGTTTTTGCTTTCCCTTAGTATGGAATATTATTTTTTTCCCATCCTTTCTCTTATAGTCTCTGTGTGTCTTTGTTGACAAGGTGCGTTTCTTGTAGGCAGGAAATAGATGGTCTTATTTTTTAATGCATTCAGCCAGTTTGTATTTTTTAGTTGGAGAATTTAGTCCATTTAGATTCAAGGTTAGTATTGATAAGTAATGACTTGGTTCTGCCAGTTTTCTATAAATATTACTATTGTTTGCTTTGGATTTCCTTTGTACTTTTACTAGAAATTTTCTGTCTTCACATTATTTCATAATGATGACTGTCTGTGTTTCTGTGTGTAGCACATCCTTAAGCATCATTTGTAAGGCTGTTTGATTTGGAAGGTCTTTATTTCACCTTCGTTCATAAATGAGAGCTTTGCTGGGTATAGTATTCTGGGTTGATGGTTTTTTTCTGTTAAGACTTGGACTATGTATCTCCATTCTCTCCTAGTCTGTAGGGTTTCTGATAAGAAATCAGCTGTGAGTCTAATTGGAGATCCTCTGAAGGTAATCTGTCATTTCTCTTGTGCACATTTTATAATCTTTTCTCTATGTTTTTCTATTGAAAGTTGACTACAGTGTGTGTGATGAAAATCTTTTCTGGTCATGTCTATTAAGAATTCTATGTGCTTCCTGTACTTGGATGTCCTTATATTTCTCCAAATTAGGGAAGTTTTCCATTATTGTTTCACAGGATATGCCTTATAACCTATCTTCTCTTTCCACACCTTCAGAAGCTACTAAGACCCATATGTTGGGTCATTTGATAGTATCCCATAAATCTTGAACACAGTTTTTAATTTTTCTAATTTCTTCCTTTTTTATTTTATTTTTTAAAATTTGACTGTTTGCTAAGATTTGTCTTCTAATTTGAATATTCTTTCTTCTGCCTCACCAGGTCTGTTGTTAAGGATTTCCACTGTATTTTTGATTTGACATATTGTATTTTTATTCTTAATATTTCAGTATGATTTCTCTTCAAAATCTCTATCTCATAGGAAAACTTTTCATGCTTCTCATGTTTGGATTTCTTTAGCTCATGAATTTGCTTCTCATTGTTTCTGAGTAATCCTGTGATCATTCTTTTGAATTCATTTTTAGACATTTCATCGTTCTCTTCATCTTCACAATCTAATATTGAAGTGGTGTTGTGTTCCTTTGGGGGAGTCATGTTGTCTTCCTTGTTGTTTCTTTTATTTCCGTGTTTATTTTTGGGGATTTGTGGAAACACTTGTTAGTTTTCTCCACTGATGGGTTTTATTTTTGAACTGTGGCTTAGTGGAGTGTCTACTCCTTCAGTGATTACCCAGAGGTATATGCTGGGTGGGGCCAGGGAGCTCTGGTCAGTCTCAAGGGTAGGGTGAGAATCCAAGGTGATACCCAAGTTGGGTGTCATAGATTTTTTCTGTTGTCAGCAGGGGGTAGGGTATGATCTCCCCTGCTGGCATAATCACAACCTCACGTCCCCTTTTCCAAGGTGATCAATGCCTATGGTTAGCCCACAGTGGGTATAACCCCCCACTGTTGCAGGTACATGAATTGCACAAAGGATCTGTGCAGTCCTCAGTGTAAGCATGGAACCCTCTGCAATGACCCACCCCAGGCAGTTAGGGAGCTCTGAGCCTCACACACTGGGCACAGTGATTTCCCAAATACCCAGCTATACCCCAGGCCCTATCATGCAGTCCCAGAATTCTCAGTCATAGCACCCAAGGCTCTCACAGTCACGGGGAGATGAGGATCCCCTCTCAGCCCCATGAGTCTGCCCTACCCATGGAGAGAGCAGAGACGTTCCCAGAGCTAGCTGCCTGTGGGTGCTCTGCCTTGGCAGTTAGAGCCCCATAACCTGTGATAGCTTAAGAAGGGAGCACTTCACATTCCCAAGTACATGCCCAGCCTGAGTCAGTTGCAAATGTGGATTTTTCCATCTGGTAAAATCCCCTGGTTATGTGCTGCAGCCTCTACTAGTTTTGAGATGGTGTCTTCTCCATACTGGTTGCCAGGTGCCCTTGTCGGGGGGTGGGGGGAGAAGGGGGAAGAAATGTGCTTTTCCTTTGCTGTTTCAGGTGGGTACCCTGCCCCCAACTAGGGCTCTAAGCCAGCCTCAAAGTTAGTGTGGTTCCCAAGGTTCTGCCTTACGCAGTATTGCCAGTGGTATGGGTTGCTGCGGTCTGCTCTGACCGCCCTCTCAGAAGCTCATCTCTCCTCCAATCCCTGGCTACAGCAGTTGTGGGTAGTGTCCCTGCTCGCTGCTGTGTGTCCACTCTTTCCACGTCTCTCCATGACATCCTTTCTTCTTTCTTTGGAGTTTGTATTGCAAATTTATCTCCAACTTTCCCTGGGTAATACACCTCTGCTTCTCTTCTGTCTTCCTCTGGTCACAGTCAGCGCATCTTTTCCCTATTCAGACATCGTGGAATCTCCTCTTCCAGATCTTACTCAGATGTCATTCATCCCAAGGAGCTTGTCTTGATCCTTTTCAGGCAAAATGTTCCCTTCACTAAACTTTTAGCAGTATCTGCATTTCTTAAATACAGCACTTACCTCAGTCTGCTTCCTTGTGTCCTTTAGTCATTCCAGAGAAACCTGCACCTAGAGAATAAAGTTCCTTTACTAAGTGTCAGCTCTACTAAGTATTGAGTTCATGTTTCAAACCATAGATGGTTTTTCCTTCACTTGATACATGTTGTCCTTACTTCACTTTGATTCATTGTTTATTTTCCTTGGAATTTGATTCTCATCTCCCCTGAGGCACTCCTGCTCATTTTATTTTATTTTATTTTTAATTTATGAATTTGAAAAGCAGAGTGACATAGACAGAGACAGAAAGAGGAAGAGATCTTCCATCCTCTGGTCCATTTCCCAAATGGCCGCAACAGCTGGTCCTGGGCCAAGCCAAAGCCAGAAGCCATGAACTCCATCCACGTCTCCCATATGGGTTTCCTTGGCCAAAGTACTTGGGCCATCTTCTGCTGCTTTACCAGTGCATTAGTATGGAACTGCATCAGAAATGGAGCAGCCAGCACTTGAACCTGCTTACCTTGCTGCACCAGAACTCCGGCCCCCATGCTATTTTTTTTTCCAGTGCCTGGAAGGGCTAGTTCTGCCTTACTGCTTTTTCTCCGTGATATTCTTTGATAGTTTATAAATTTTCAAAATGCATTTCAGATTTTTGATTTTGTAGTGTAAAAATGGAAATTGTGCTATCTGGTATGAGATTCCGGTGTTGCAAGTGTACCATAACACTGGCCCCTCTTCATTTTCTAAAGGCTGTTTAAAATTCCACTTGCATTCATTCTTTCCTCATTTCTGCCTCACTCCAACCCATCACATGTTTACTTTTCTATCTTTTTTACATCCTTTGAGCAAGTGTCAGAATTTTTCCAGATTATATGTATTTGTGTGCTAGTTTCTCACTCTAATAATTCAACAGCCTTTACTTAGCACCTTCTGCATTCTAGTAGTGTACTTGGGACTGCCTTGTAGATTCTGTCCCTGCCCTCAAGGGGCTCCCAGACTCGTTAATAGATACCTTTCAGTCTAGTGAAATGAGTTCCACATGTCATCTTAAATTATGTCTTTTAATTTTTTTTTTTTTTTTGCCAGAAATCTGCTAGAATGTGTCCCTGACTGGGCCTGTGATGCAAAGAAGATAGAAATAATAGATGTGAGTTATAATGTTCTCACAGAGGTTCCTATGAGGTATGTGGGTATGTGTGGATGTGTGGATGTGTATGTGTGTATATATATTTTCAAGTTCCCACTCATTTGTTGAGTAAATATTGGTCACCTGATGAGTACAAGGCAATATGACTTGCCTTCAGGAATATGCTAATAGTTAATGCATGGTCTTGGCCTGCAAGGGACTTTAAAAGAGTCTAGTATAATATATGCATGGACAGCTGATAAAATATACTAAGAGTTGCTGGCATAGGTTGGTGATAGACTCATAGTTAATAATAGTTAATTTTATATTTTGAGTTATTATGAGATGGCAATGAACTTTGCTTTTATTATGATACCCAGTCCTTTAAAAACTGCTTATGAGGAAACTAAGGCTTAGACTAGCATAACCTGAGGTTGCACTTAACTAGAGAGTGATGGGAGCTGACGACTGAGTGTAGTCCTTAGTCCCAAGCCTTTGTACCCGATCACTACACCAAAGAAATAATTTTAGAAATGCAGAGGAGGAACTAGAGAGTGCCTCATGGAGAAGATGGCATTTGAGTTGACCTTTACCTGAAGGTGGCATTTCTCTAAATGGAGGTGTTAAGAGAGTAGTAGTTGGGGCTGGCACTGTGGTGTAGCGGGTAAAGCTGCCGCCTGCAGTGCCTGCATCCCATATGGGCACCGGTTCAAGTCCAGGCTGCTCCACTTCCCATGCAGCTGTCTGATATGGCCTGGGAAAGCAGTGAAAGATGGCCCAAGTCCTTGGGCCTTTGCACCCACATGAGATACCCAGAAGAAACTCCTGGCTCCTGGCTTTGGATCGGCCCAGTTCTGACTGTTGGGGGCCAAATGGGGAGTGAACTAGCGGATAGAAGACTCTTTCACTCTCTTCTCTCTCTATACCCTCAGTAACTCTGCCTTTCAAATAAATAAAATAAATCTTAAAAAAAAATAAAACTTTCTGGACTTTATTGTTAAATGGCCTAGCATATTTTCTTTTAAAAAGTATTTATTTGAAACAGAGTGACAAGAGAGAGAAAGAGGGAAAGACAGAGAGTGAGTAGGATCATCCATCTGCTGGCTCACTCCCCAAATGTTCACAACAGCTGGGACTGGGCCAGGCTGAAACCAGGAGTTTGGAGTTCCATCTGGGTCTCCCATGTGTGTGGCAGGGGTCCAAATACTTGGGTCATCATCTCCTGCCCTCTCAGGAGCATTAGTAGGAAGCTGGATCAGATGCATAGAAGCTAGAGCTCAAAAAGGCATTCTAATATGGGGTGTGGATATCCTAAGCAGTGGTTTAATTTATTGCTTCAGAATGCCTGCAGCCTAGCAGATTTTAAGCATTTAATAAATAGTTTTTTGGGGCCAGCGCAATGGCTCCCTTGGTTAATCCTCCGCCTGTGGCGCTGGCATCCCAGATGGGCGCCAGGTTCTAGTCCCGGTTGCTCCTCTTCCAGTCCAGCTCTCTGCTGTGGCCCGGCAAGGCAGTGGAGGATGGCCCAAGTGCTTGGGCCTTGCACTCGCGTGGTAGCGCCTGGCTCCTGGCTTTGGATCGGCGTAGCTCCGGCCATAGTGGCCATTTTGGGGGGTGAACCAATGGAAGGAAGACCTTTCTCTCTGTCTCTCTCACTGGCTAACTCTGTCAAATAAATTAAAAAATTTTTTTTAAAGTTTTTCTTATAGTAAAATTTGTCTTATAAATGTATTATGTTAATAAGTTATGATAATATAATGAACTTCTAGAGAAGTTGCTTTTTTAGTTTAGGTCTCCTCTATGCTATTTGCTTTAGTTGATTTATCTTTTTCCTTTTTTAAGATTTATTTATTTGAAAGGCAGAGTTACAGAGGCAGGGGTGGTAGTCTTCTGTTCGCTGGTTCACTTCCCAAATGGCTGCAACAGCTGGAGCTGCACCGATCTGAAGCCAGGAGCCAGGAATTTCTTCCGGGTCTCCCATGCGGGTACAGGGACCCGGGCCATGCTGCATTGCCTTGCCAGGCCACAGCAGAGAGCTGGACTGGAAGAGGAGCAACTGGGACTAGAACCCGGCGCCCATCTAGGATGCCAGCGCCTCAGGTGGAGGATTAACCAAGTGAGACACGGCGCTGGCCCCCTTGGGCCATCTTCTACTGCTTTCCCAGGACATAGAGAGAGCTGGATCGGAAGTGGAGCAGCCAGGACTCAAACTGGCGTCCATGTGGGATGTCGGCACTGCAGACGGCGGCTTTACCCGCTACGCTACAGTGCTGGCCCCCCCTGATTTACCTTTTCTAAGATGATCTTCATGATTCCCTGGTGGGTGGTGGGTAACATGTAGTGTAGTTAGTTTCTTGACCCAGGCACTTAAGTGATTTTGCAATCTCGAAGAATATATTTCTATTACTTTATTGTTTTAGTCAAATAGCCTAGGACGAAAGCAAAAAGATTTATTTTTCAAAATGTATTTATTTGCATTATTCTCCTTTAGAATTCTGAGTAGTTTGAGTCTTAGAAAACTGATGATGGGACACAATCACATCCAAAACCTTCCAGCGCTGGTGGAGCACATCCCACTTGAGGTCCTGGATATTCAGCATAATGGACTCACCAGGCTGCCAGATACCCTCTTCTCCAGGGCTTTAAAGTAAGTATGCAGGACTTTTTTTCTGAAGAACAGAGTCATTGGCTAAGAAAATGGAGAAAACCAAGATGAGCAATAGTAATTTAGCATGGAGCTACAGGAGACACAAAAGTCATTTAGCCCACAAGTGTCTGCATTTGTTTTTTCTAGTATCTTATCCCACCCCTCCCTTTACATTGTTTGAGAGCTGTGAAGAGAGAAAGAATGAGAGAGCACACAAGAGCCAAGTGCACATGGGAGTGCTCCCATCCCCCAAAGCCTACAGTGGCTGGCGCGGGACCAAGGCTGAAGTTGAAGCCAGGAACTCAATCCAGGTCTCTCACATGGGTGGCAGGAACTCAATTACTTGAGCCATCACTACTTCCTCCTGGAATCTGCATTAGCAGGAAACTAGGGAGCTGGAAATCCAACCTAGACACTCAGATATGGGATGTAGGTGTTTCAATGGCTAGACCAAACACTCACCTTATTAGTTTGGCAGTGTATTAAAAAGTCTTTAAAATACACACACTCACACACACACATACATCCTTTGATCCCACAAATTCTGCTTCTTAGAATGTTCCTAAAAGTAAATGAATGCATACTTTGATCACTTCAGATACAAAGCGCTTCAAATTTGTCAGACTGAATTATAGCTGACAGTGACCTTTGCTTTGTGTTGACTGGCTTCCCTGATGGCTGTGATTTCATTCACTGAATGGTCCTTAAAGCACATAAGTAAGTGTTCGCACCAGTGTTTGTGATTGTGTGTGCATGGAAATGCAGATATGTCCGCTATCAGGCAGCTGTTGATAGATCACTAAATAATGATGTTAAAACCAGGTAGGGATAAAAACAGATGAATTTTTTTCTGAGAGGTGTTTGCATAGTGCAAATACATGTTGATATGATGCCCATCTGCATCCTTTCAGTAGATGCATTTAGAGTAAAAGATGAAGCTAGGTGTGAATCAGGCTCCAACAGAAACCTGGGAAAATAACCAAGCCTGTATTCTTTCCTTTCTACTTGGCTTCTGTGAATTGAGAAGAAGAAACTCTGGATAGAGTCAGTTAGAGAAAACTACATGAAGGAAATGAAGTTTTTTAATTTGGAGCTTGGAATGACAGCATTCCATCCTGAGATGACAGGATGGTTTCCACATAAGAAAGCAACAAATGAAGATAAAGGAAGTGATGATTTGTGTGTGTCCTCTCAGCCTCAGATACCTGAATGCATCTGCAAACAGTCTGGAGTGTTTGCCATCTGCTTGTGCTGCCGGCGAGAGTCTGAGCGTGCTGCAGCTGCTCTATCTGACCAGCAATCGCCTGACTGATCAGTGCATACCTGTCTTGGTTGGGTTCCCGCACCTGCGAGTCTTGCACCTTGCCAACAATCAACTACAGACCTTTCCTGCAAGGTGAGTGGATGCAAACTTTGATCACTTCAGATACAAAACATTTTACATTTGTCAGACTGAATTGGAGCTGACTATGACCTTTGCCTTATGTTAACTAATTCCCTGATGGCTGTAATTTCACTGAATGGAAAAATTTCTCTCTCTCTTTTTTTTTTTTTAATAAAGATCATGCCATCTGCAAACAGGGATTTTTTTTTTAAAGATTTATTATTTATCTGAAAGGCAGAGAGAGGCAGAGGCAGAGGCAGAGGGAGAGAGAGAAACATCTTCCATGTGCTGGTTCACTCCCCAGATGGCCACACTAGCTGGAGCTGCACTAGTCTGAATCCAGGAGCTAGGAGCTTCTTCCAGGTCTCCCACGTGGATGCAGGAACCCAAGGACTTAGGCCATCTTCCACTGCTTTCCCAGGCTGTAGTGGAGAGCTGGATCGGAAGAAGAGCCACCAGGACTCGAAACCAGCACCCATATGGGATGCCAGCACTGTAGATGACGACTTTACCCACTACACTGCAGCGCTGGCCCTGAAAAATCTTAATGGTTCATACCAGGGCCGACACTGTGGTGCAGCAGGTTAAAGCCCCAGCCTACAGCACCCCATATGGGCACTGGTTTGAGTCCCAGCTGCTCCACTTCCGATTCAGCTCTCTGCTATGGCTTGGGAAAGCAGTAGAAGACAGACTAGGTCTGGACCCTACACCCACGTGGGAGATCTGGAAGAAGCTCCTGGCTCCTGACTTCAGATCAGGTCAGCTCTGGCTGTTGTGGTCATTTGGGGAGTGGACCAGCAAATGGAAGACCTCTCTCTGGCTATACCTCTCTCTCTGTAACTCTGTCTTTCAGATAAATTAAAAAAAAAAAAAGGTTCATAACTAGTTGCTAAGTATCAGTACAAGTGTGGTTAAAATGTGTTTAATTTTTAGTCCTAGTTACTTAATAGTGGTGTGGGAATATTTGACCTAGAAAAGTACAAGCTTATGAAGTCAAATTCTGAAGATAATTTTTTATCAACATTGTTTTATAAAATACTGTGAATCTATTAATTTACTCATAATATGACTTTATATATTGAATACCTACTATTTGCTAAATACTATGTGACTTGTAGTGAAATTGGTGAGACAGACATGTATAGGCAGTTTCGCTGTAGAGTAGTTAAGTGCAGGGTATGAAATATACACGCAGGTAGCCAGTAGTGCAGTATAGGGATGGGGGCAGAGTTTAGTTGGATTTCCTAGAGAAAGAGATTACTGTAGTTAGCCACACTGTATTTACATGAGGATACAGGAGAAACATTTAAAAAAGAGACTGTCAAAGTTTTAGACAGCGTCAGATAAGTAAACAATTTTCTAAAAAATTCAGAAGTTTAACACCAAAAACTCCATCTATACCATGAAGGTAGTCATTAAAAGTCATATTTTAAAAAACTGAGTATAAGAAAAGACATTTGATATAGTGTAAATGCAATTTTAAATATAATGAGAGGTTACATAATGTTTGGTAGTTTGTTACACTTTGAATGGAAAGCATATATTTTTATTTTTATTTCATTTTACAGATATTCTCGGAAATATAAACTCAGAAGAACAGAGTTTAAGTATTAACTAAATTATAATTTTGGTGAACATTTTCGTGAACATTTATGAAATGAAATAGAGCTTTTTTTTTTTTAACAACTTCTGACTTCAATCACCATGCTTGAATTTTATTTTATTTTTTTAAAGATTTATTTTATTTATTTGAAAGAGTTACAGAGAGAAGTAGAGACAGAGAGAGAGGTCTTGCATTCGCTGGTTCACTCACCAGATGGCCGCAACAGTTGGAGCTGCGCCATTCCAAAACCAGGAGCCAGAAGCTTCTTCCAGGTCTCCCACATGGGTACAGGGACCAAAGCACTTGGGCCATCTTCTACTGCTTTCCCAGGCCACAGCAGAGAGCTGGATGGGAAGAGGAGCAGCCAGGACTCAAACCGGTGTCCATATGGGATGCTGGCACTGCAAGCAGTGGCTTTACCCACTATGCCACAGCACCAGCCCCAGCATTGGGTTTTAAAGTGAATGCAGAGGGGCCAGCAATATGGCATAGCTGATTAAACTACTGCCGGCAGTGCCAGCTTTACATGTGGTCGCCAGTTCAAGTCCCAACTGCTCAACTTCTGATCCAACTCTCTGTTAATGCGCCTGGGAAGCTGGCCCACATTCTTGGGCCCTGCACTCACATGGGAGAGCCCTCAGGAGCTCTTGGCTCCTGGCTCCTGGCTCCTGGGTTTTTTCCAGATGAAGCGCCCCACCCAGCTCCGGCTTTGCAGTCATTTGAGGAATGAACCAAAGGATGGACGATCTCCATGAAGGTATTAGGCTGACTGAAGACACTGGCAAGCTTCACTCAGTTGATGGAAGTGAGCCTTATGAATCACTTGTCTCAAAGACCAGACACAGTGCTGTGTGCATAATAAAAACCTGATCAATTTTTAGCAGAGATGAACTGTTATGAACTGGTAACTGTAGAAATTTAGACTTGATAGGAGTCTTAGTGATGATTTAGTACAACTTCTTTGTTTCACAGCTTAGCTAGTTTTGGTCCACTGGTACCAACTCGCCTGGTATTTTGCAGTGACTTGGTGGTGACACAAGGAATAGCACTAACCTCCCAATGGTAGGCCAGTGCTTTTTCAGCCCCCTCTTCCAGGTCATGGCCACAAGATCTAACAGCTGTGAGCCACAAGGGAAGCTTCGGCCCTTGAAAGTCTGAGAGACAGATCAGGCTGAGATGTAAGAGTGGTGGTGGTTGTGAGCCAGGGTCTTAGCTGCTGTCCAGTTTTGTTTAATTTTCCCCAGTAATCGGCAGTAGGCCAGGTCAGCCCTTTGAACTCTGGCTGCTTTGAAATAGCACTTGCTTGGCAGCTGCTCATTTTTGGTGCAATCTGGTATTTTGGTGTTTCTTTTTTAGCAAACTAAATAAATTGGAGCAGTTGGAGGAACTGAACTTAAGTGGCAACAAGCTTAAGACGATTCCCACAACTATAGCAAACTGCAAAAGACTGCACACCCTTGTTGCACACTCCAACAACATCAGCATTTTCCCAGAAATCCTGCAATTGCCTCAGATCCAGGTACTTTTATCTGCTGGAATTAATGAATCCCTTATGGAGGAAATGGCGCTAGTGTGAAGGAGATAATTCTCTTCTCATAAGGAAGAGGTATTGTTCTTATGTACTCACCCTGGGATCAGAATGTACATAACTGCTTCCTTGGAGAAATTTTTTTTTTTTTTTAATTTATTTATTTGAAAGACAAGACAGAGTTAGAAAGAGAGGTCTTCCATCTGCTGGTTCACTCCCCATTAGCCAGGGCCGAGCCGATCCAAAGCCAGGAGATTCTTCTGGGTCTCCCACTTGGGTGCAGGGGCCCAACCACATGGATCATCATCCACTACTTTCCAAGGTGCATTAGGGAGCTGGATCAGAGATGGGGCAGCTGGGACTCAAACCGGCACCCATGTGAGATGCTAGCACTGCAGGCTGGGGCTTTAACCAACTTAACCCACTGTGCCACAGCGCCGGCCCCTCCTGGGAAGAAACTGAGTTCCCACTTGAGGATGTAATAGGATATTGAACATTTGGGACTAAAGATTTAACTCTCTATGCTGTTTTTGTTTGTTTGTTTGTTTCTCCATTTCATCTCAGTTTGTAGATCTAAGTTGCAATGACTTGACAGAAATACTCATTCCAGAGGCTCTGCCTGCTACACTACAAGACCTTGACCTGACTGGAAATACAAATCTGGTTCTGGAACACAAGACGCTAGACATATTTAGGTACGTAAAAATCTGAAATTTAATCCATACCTGCTCTTCTTTAGGACTGTGTAGATCTTGTTCTCTCCAGTAGTCAGTCTTTTTTTTTCCCCTTCAAAAATAATTTATTTGTTTCTGGTCACAAAACACAGGAAGTGGCCGGTGCCGCAGCTCAATAGGCTAATCCTCCGCCTTGTGGCGCTGACACACTGGGTTGTAATCCTGGTCAGGGTGCCGGATTCTGTCCCGGCTGCCCCTCTTCCAGGCCAGCTCTCTGCTGTGGCCAGGGAGTGCAGTGGAGGATGGCCCAAGTCCTTGGGCCCTGCACCCGCATGGGAGACCAGGAGAAGCACCTGGCTCCTGGCTTCGGATCAGCGTAGTGCGCTTGCCACAGCGCACCAGCCGCAGCGGCCATTGGAGGGTGAACCAACGGCAAAGGAAGACCTTTCTCTCTGTCTCTCTCTCTCACTGTCTACTCTGCCTGTCCAAAACAAAACAAAACAAAACACAGGAAGTTGCGAGGGCAGTGGGTGTTCCCAGTGGCTGCCCTCTTCCTGGTCTGTACACCTTGTACACAGCGCCCCAAGCTGTTTCTCCCATTCTAACAGCTGCAGAGTATGGGGAGCAGGCAGGATGCTGAGCCACAGACCCCTACCCCCCACTTACAATGTGGGGACACCCCTCGGGTGAGCGCTCCAGCTCACCCCTGCGTATCTGCCACAGACCAGCCCTGTCTACACAGCCCCTAGGGGCTGCACCTTGCAGCAGTGAAGTAGTCAGTCTATTTGTGTTAAAACTACTACATGGCTACCACACAAACATATGTCTGGTATTTTTACATATTAGGCATAAATATATTAGTTGGTACAGATTGCATTACAACATCTGTAAGATGTACGAGTTCTTTGTACCTGTATCAAAATGTGTAAAATAAGTAGATATGACTGAAGCATAGAAATCTTTGTTTTGCTGAGATCTTGATTGAAAAGAATGGCATTAATTTTGACAGTGTTTGGCCCCTATTTCTTCTTGCTGCACCTTTTCTTTTTTTTTTCCTCCTGGTTAGGGGGTGGGGGCACTTGGCTGCTCTACTTCCAATCCAGCTTCCTGATAATAGAGCCTGAGGAGGCAGTGGATGATGGTTCAAGAATTTGGGCCCCTTTCACCCATGTGGGAGACCTGGATGGAGTCTCTGGCTCCTAGCTTTGACCTTGCCCAGTCCTGGCTGTTGTGGGTATTTGGAGAGTGAATCACAGGATGGAAGATTTCTCTGTGTCTCCTCCCCTCTCTGTTGTTCTGCCTTTCAAATAAGCTGCTGCTTGGTATGCTAGCATCCTAGATTGGGGTACCAGCTTGAGTCACAGCTGTCTGCTTCTGATCCATCTCCCTGCGAACTTGCCTGATGGAGTTCTGAGCACCTGGCTTCAGCCTGGCCTAGCTCTGACCATTGGAGGAGTGAACCAGCAGATGGAAGAGCCTTCTCTCTTTCTCCATTTCTGTCTCTCTCTTTCTCTCCCCACCACCCGTGTTACTCTGCCTGTGAAATAAATAAATACTTAAGAATTAATCCTTAGGGTTGGCATTTTGGTACAGTGGATAGAGCTGCTGCATCCCAGTGGGTGCCAGTTCGTGTCCTGGCTACTCTACTTCCAATCCAACTCCTTGCTGATGGCCTGGGAAAGGCAGCAGAGGATGGCCCAAGTGTTTGGACCTCTGCACCCATGGCTCAGCCCTAACTGTTGCTGCCCCTTGGAGAGTAGAACAGCAGATGAAAGACTTTTATTCCATCCTTCCTTTCTTTGTTTCTTTCTCCTTTTTTTCTGTATTTTTCTTTCTAAGATAGAATTACAGAGAGGCAGAGAGAAAGAGAGGTTTCCTATCCACTGGTTCACTCCCCAAATGTCTGAAACGGCCAGAGCTGTGCTGATCCAAAGCCAGGAGCCAGGAGCTTCTTCCAGGTCTCCCATGTGGCTGCAAGGGCCCAAGGACTTGGGCCATCTTCCACTGCTTTCCCAGGCTGTAACAGAGAGCTGGATCAGAAGTGGAGCAGCCAGGGCTCAAACTGGCACCCATATGGGATGCCAGCACTGCAGGTGGCAACTTTACCCACTATGCCACAGCACCAGCCCTGAAAGACCCTCTTTGTCTCTCCCTCTGCAGCTCTCTCAGGTAAATAAAGAATTTTTGAAAAGAATTAATCTTAACACATGATATCTTTGGGAGAGTTTTCATCAAAGACAGTCTAATATATGGCTTAATCTTCTCTTCTTTCACCTCAACAGCCATATCACAACACTAAAAATTGATCAGAAACCTTTGCCAACCACAGATTCTACCATTACATCAACCTTCTGGAGCCACGGACTGGCTGAGATGGCAGGACAGAGAAATAAGTGAGTGTGTTGACTGTGAAGACTGAGTTCAAGAACTGGCAGCCCCTGGTGTCTCAGATGTCTCTGGTGCTCCTAGTGAGGCCCTGATGTTCTGTTGCACATAAGCATATCAGCATGTCAGCTCACATAAGATCCTTCTGAGACTATGCTAAAGTGAGACAAATGTGCGTGTGCAGTCCACAGAATACCAAACACCTCCTCTCATGGCTAACATGGGTGTTTGCTTCTTAGGTTATCAATTACAGCTTTATCCTTGTGTTAAATTTCCTTCCCTGTCAACAAAGTTGAAATACCCAACTGTGGAGTCGTCCTGCTTTCTCTTAGCACCCAACCTAGTGTGATCCTCCACTTCCTAGAGCCCTGCCCAGTGACCCAACCAAAGCCCAAATCTTATACTCGTTTCTGTCCAACATCCTCTTACCAGTACGCCCCATGGTTTCATGGACTAGCATTCACCCTTGCTGCAAGGTCTAATAAACCCGGCTTGTCTAGTTACAGATGTGCTTTGGGGTTCTTGGGCTGAAGGGTTTTGACAAAATCCAGTTCTTAATCACTACCATGAGAAAATACATTATCTTCCAGCCTTGGGCAGCACTGCAAAACTATGTACTGCCCATGAGTGTGGCAAGACACGCCTTTCCTTAGGACATCACTGTTTTAGATTCTGCTGGATTATTTTCTCTAGGGACTTTCTCACATGTAAATTGAGAGTTACTGCTGTTCTGCTCCAACTTCAGTTGGAGAATAATCTGTTACCAAACACTTTCTTTGATGATTGTCTTTCTTCTGTTTCTGCTCTAGGCTGTGTGTATCTGCTCTAGCTATGGATAACTTGGCAGAGGGTGTGGGAGCCGTGTATGGCATGTTTGACGGCGACCGGAACGAGGAGCTCCCTCGCCTGCTGCAGTGCACGATGGCAGACGTGCTGTTGGAAGAGGTACAGCAGTCAGCACATGACACCGTTTTCATGGCGAGCACCTTCTTGGTGTCTCACAGGTAAGCAGATGGGTTGAATAATCCCTAACTCAGTTCTGCTTTTGGAAAGTCAGTCTCTGTAAGCCAGAAGATTAGGATCTGGATCCAGGACAGATCCCACTCCTTCTGTGATCCTGCTGTGGCTTGGAAGTGGGGACTTTGGCTCTTTAAAGAGCCACAGGAGTCATCTGCATTGTTTATATGTATGTGTGTGTGTGTTTCTGTGTTTTGGGAGGAAGGGGGTAAGGTTTCATCAGATTCTCCAGAGAGTCTGTGACCTCTAAGTACTTAACAAGCACTGATTAGGTTCATGTGTTTTGCGTACTTGTTATTGGGTACATACCCAGCTAATCTCCTCAAAGTCTAAGTCAATGGAGGTCAAAACTGTATGTAACAAAACTGCTGAAAATCTCAATCTAGTTAATGGAGAATCTTGCATATCAGGTGGGCTCCATAAAGGATATGAGCAACAACTGAGAGGTAAATTAGTACAATTAGGTTTGAAATGGAATAGCTTGGAGCTCAAGCTGATTTTTATCAATTAGTATAACACAAACCAAGGTGTTGTCAAAGTCTGTTTTTTCTTTTAAGATTTATTTATTTATTTGAAAGGCAGAGTTACAGAGAGACGGAGGCAGAGAGAGAGAAAAATGTCTTCCATCCACTGGTTCACTCCCCAGATGGCCACAGTGGCCAGAGCTGGGCTGATTTTAAGCCAGGAACCAGGAGCTTCTGCGAGCTCTCCCACACAGGTGCAGGGGCCCAAGGACTTGCGTCATCTTCAGCTGCTTTCCCAGGCCACAGCAGACAGCGGGATGGAAGTGGAGCAGCCAGGACTCGAACTGGCACCCATATGGGATGCCGGCCCTGCAGGCGGCGTCTCTACCTGCTACGCCACTGCACCAGCAAGAATCTTCTTTTTAGTAGTAGAATTGAGCTGGAGACTTGGCAAAATAAGGGGTTTGAGAAAGGGGACTCAGTATATGAAGCTCCTTCTTAGAGCCAGGCACTGTCCCAAGCATTTTTCATACTGTATCTTTAATTTTCAAACAAGTCAAGTAGGTAAATACTTCTTCAGAGAAGTTTCTCAGAGAAATGACTGGGCTAAGGATCCACAGGAAATGGCAGAGCAGGACATTGAATCTAGGTCTTCTGATAGTATCTGCTGTCTTTTAGTGTTGTGTAGGAAGTGTGGATGGATTATGCTCCTTCCTTCAAGGATTTACATCCTAAGTGAGTACTTGTCAGAGTGCTGTTGTCCTGGGACCAGCAGCCTCAGCATCACCAGAAACTTGTTAAAAAATTGGGCCAGCCCCTACTCAATCAGAGACTGGGATCGAGGCCCCAGTTTTAATGTTTACTATGCCCTCCAGATGATTCTGATTGTTCAGGTTTGAGAACCTCTGATTTAGGAGGTCTCTGATCAGACACAGAAGGAATAGAGGGAGACGCATTTGCATGTCTCTCCACCTACCCGCACCCTTGTAAAATCTCCATCAGCTGATGGAGTAGGAGGTCTGCACTCTCCCACTTTCCCACTGTCACCAGTGCCCAGTGCCTGCCTTCAGGTGGGCCGGGGGGGCTCTCTCACAGTTGTATGGCAGAAAAAGAAGGAAAGTAACACATGAAGCACACTGTCGTCTTCTTAAAGTGGCTTCCATGTCTTCATTTTCTTTGCCTTCTGAACAGGAAACTAGGAATGGCTGGGCAGAAGCTGGGCTCCTCCGCTCTCCTGTGCTACATTCGCCCTGACACTGTTGATCCAACAAGCAGTTTTAACCTGACTGTGGCCAACGTTGGCACCTGCCAAGCAGTCCTGTGCCGAAGTGGGAAGCCAGTGCCACTCTCTAAAGTCTTCAGCCTGGAACAGGATCCAGAGGAAGCGCAAAGAGTGAAGGACCAAAAAGCCATCATAACAGAGGTGCGTCTTGCTCTCTGCCATTCACTTCTTCTTCTAATTCTTCTTCTTTTTTAAGATTTATTTATTTATTTGAAAGTCAGAGTTACACAGAGAGAGAAGGAGAGGCAGAGAGAGAGGTCTTCCATCCACTGGTTCACTCTCTAATTGGCCACAATGGCTGGAGCTGCGCCAATCTGAAGCCAGGAGCCGGGAGCTTCTTCTGGGTCTCCCACATGGGTGCAGGGGCCCAGGGACTTGGGCCATCTTCCACTGCTTTCCCAGGCCATAGCAGAGAGCGGGATTGGAAGTGGAGCAGCCAGGACTCGAACTGGCACCCATATGGGATGCTGGCACTGCAGGCGGCAGCTTTACCCACTGCGCCACAGTGATGGCCCCTGCCATTCACTTCTACTTCCTAAATCAGTGAAGGTTGTTTGTCACAGAACAATGAAGATTCGGTTTCTTCCTGTTGTGCCTTGTAAATAGCAACCAATCCAAATACATGTTCAATTCAGATGGTTTCAGTAGTGGCACTAGAAGAAATTTAACTGGACAGTGAGTAGCAAAAAGAAAAAGCAAACTTAGTTAGAAATGAGAAGTCCCAGTTTGTGATCCTTTAAATGTGTAGCTAGCATATAGAATGAGTATTGTAACCCGTTATGTAATTCCAAATTCATGTGGTTTGTTATGCCAAATGGAAGAAGAAAGAGTTCTATAGTTTGACATCCCCATTCTGAAATGCCAAGTTTCAAAATATTTTTTCCTGTTTATTCTGTAAATGGCTTAGTATGCTCTTTTGTTTGTAATGAGATGAGAGCATAACATTTTTGCTTTCAAAGAGAGGTTAGCAATTATAATACATGCATACTGTAATGATCATTATTTACTGCAAACATTGTTTATTGCTTTCAAATCCCTTGCTGTTTAAAGTGAATTGTTTATTGTTGAGCTTTAAGACTTCTTTGTGTGTTTTGGAAACAAGTCCTTTATCAGATACATACTTAACAAATATTTTCTGTCTGAGGTTTTTGTCTTTTCATTCTTTTAACAGTGTGTTTTGCAGAGCAGAAGTTTTCAGTTTTAATGAAATCCCACTTGTCAGTTTTTCCCCCGTGTACTGTGTTTGTAGTGTTGCATCTGAAAATTTTGATGTTGTATATAGAACTCATTTCAAGCTTAAGGTCACCTAGATTTTCTTCTGAGTTGCCTTCTAGAAGATTTATAGTTTTGTGTTTTACATTTAGGCCTGCAGTCCATTTTGTGAACTGTGTAAGCTCTGTGTCTAGAGTCACTTTTTTTGCTTGTGGATGTCCAGTTCTAACGCCATTTGTTGAAAATACGATCTTTTTTTTTTTAACTGTATTGCTTTTGCTCCGTTGTTCATGATTAGTCAATTGTATGAAGAATTTTTAAAAATTACTCTAAGAGGTATTTAAGGCCGGCGCCACAGCTCACTAGGCTAATCCTCCGCCTTGCGGCGCCGGCACACCGGGTTCTAGTCCCGGTCAGGGCGCCGGATTCTGTCCCGGTTGCCCCTCTTCCAGGCCAGCTCTCTGCTGTGGCCAGGGAGTGCAGTGGAGGATGGCCCAAGTGCTTGGGCCCTGCACCCCATGGGAGACCAGGAGAAGCACCTGGCTCCTGCCATCGGATCAGCGCAGTGTGCCAGCCGCAGCGCGCTGGCCACGGCGGCCAATGGAGGGTGAACCAACGGCAAAGGAAGACCTTTCTCTCTCTCTCTCTCTCTCTCACTGTCCACTCTGCCTGTCAAAAATTAAAAAAAAAAAAAAAAAGGTATTTAAAACTATTTTGGGACAATACAGGGGGTCTTCGTAAAGTTCATGGAAAATGCAGATTGTGAACAAATTGTGAAAAAGCATGCATGGATTTAAAACAATTATGCACCAAAATAAACTTATCTTTAATTCCAGTTTCCACGAACTTTTTGAAATCCCATTGGGTTTATGTGAGTCTATTTCTGAGCTCTTCATTTTGTTGGAATTCTCCCAAATTATACATCTTAGAATCCATCCAGGGGCCAGCGCTGTTACATAGCGAGTAAAGCCGCCGCACAGTACTGGCATCCTCTTCCGATCCAGCTCTCTGCTATGGCCTGGGAAAACAGTAGAAGATGGCCCAAGTCCTTGGGCCCCTGCATCCACGTGGGAGACCTGGAAGAAGCTCCTGGCTCCTGGCTTCTGATCGGTGCAGCTCCAGCCATTGCAGCCATCTGGGGAGTGAAACGGAAGACCTCTCTCTCTCGCTCGCTCTGCCTCTCCTTCTCTCTCTGTGTAACTCTGCTTTCAAGTAAATAAATCTTTAAAAAAAATTCTATCCAGGGAAGCACAAAAGCCATAAGTAACCCAAAAAACTTTGACATGCAGATGGTACTGTGTTAGTGGAGGCAGTTGGAATAGATAGAGGCTCTTGTCTTCCTGTAAGAAAAGAATTTCAGATGTGAGACAGATGCAGGCAGTAAGCAATTAGTGATATTTAATGAAGAGAAGACACCTGACAGACAAAGAACCAAGTGCCCAGTTTGCATTCAGACTAGAGCTTCTATGGGAATGGACACAGCTTTTCTGATAATTTCTCCTGCCTCCTTCCTTCTTTGGGATTTTGCTAGAGGAGGGCTTTCTGGGCATGCTAACGTGAAATTCCTACAGCCCCGTTTTATCAGCCCAGTGTTATTGTATCAGATAACCCCTGGTGTCAGGCCAGAAAGATCCTTCGGGGATTGGGATAGAGGGTGGGGGTGAATGCTGGGACTCCTCTGGGTTATTGGACATGGGCATGGCTTTTGATGTATAAATGAACTTCCTGGTTTTTTTCCTTCAGGCCCATCTCACATAGGCTAATGTTTATCTTCCTACCTAACAGGGTTCTGGAATTAGGAGACTTTGGTCTTTTTTTTTTAATTATTAGATTTTGTTTGTTTCAAATTTTAAAAGTTGTTAACATTTTGTCACATTCACTTCAAATGTAGACATGCACATAGAGACTGCAGTCTGAGGGGGTCTTTCAATCAAAATAAATGAAAGATAAAAGACAGCATTTCATTTGACTACTCTAATTTACGGGATTTATTAATTCATTTCTTTATTTCCAACTTTTTAATATTTATTTATTTGAAAGGCAGAGTTAGAGAATGAGGTAGAGAGATCTTCTGTCTGCTTCCCAAACGGGATAGAGAGATCTTCTGTTTACTTTCCAAATGGCTGCAATGGCCGGAGCTGGACCAGGCTGAAACCGGGAGCCAGGAACTCCATCTGGGTTTCCCATGTAGGTGGTAGGGGTCTACACACTTGGGCCATCTTTTGTTGCCTTCTCAGGAACATTAACAGAAACTGAGTCAGGAGTGGAGCAGCAGGGACTTGAACCTGTACTCACAGGCCGTGGCCCAACTAGCTGTACCACAACACTGGCCCCTATTTTATAGAATTTAGATCCTCCTTAGGGGCTCCTAGATAAGTGGGAAATGTTGTAAATTTTTTTTTAACCACAACATTTATTGTTTGCCTGTTATTTGCTAAGCACTGTACTTTTGTTATTTTATTTAATCTTAACAGTAACCCCCATGAAAGAAGGGCTGTTATTTTCATTTTACAGATGAATAAAATTAAGTGTAGAGTTTGTAACCAGTTTTCATAAATGAGAATTCAGAGTTTTCACCCACAGAATGACTGCAACTGAGAAGTTAATTTATTGATGTCTTTAGAGTTTTTCTTTTGAAGTCAATACCAAGGGGTCTGGCAAAGAGCATTCCTAACCTGCATCTCATGGTTATTTCTTCTCTCTTAAGTTTGGAATTACCTGGATTCTGATGTGACCTACCACTTACTCTTTTTTTTTTTTTTTTTTTTTTTTTTTTTTGACAGGCAGAGTTAGACAGTGAGAGAGAGAGAAAGGTCTTCCTTTTTCTGTGGGTTCACCCCCAAAATGGCCACTATGGGCGGCGTGCTGTGCCGATCCAAAGCCAGGAGCCAGGTGCTTCCTCCTGGTCTCCCATGCGGGTACAGGGCCCAAGTACTTGGGCCATCCTCCACTGCCTTCCCAGGCTACAGCAGAGAGCTGGACTGGAAGAGGAACAACTGGGACAGAATCCGGCGCCCTAACCAGGACTAGAACCCAAGGTGCCAGTGCCGCCGCAGGTGGAGGATTAGCCAAGTGAGCCGTGGCGCCGGCCAACCATTTACTCTTGGTATAGCCTTTACAGAGAAGGTTCATCGTGCTACAGAATTCATTTTTTAAAAAAGATTTATTTATTTATTTATTCATTTATTTGAGTGACAGAGATCTTCCATCTTCTGGTTCTACAACAGCTGGATCTGGGCCAGGCCAAAACCAGGAGCCCAAATTTCTGTCTGAGCTTAGATTTCAACTTGAATCTCCCATATGAGCTGCAGGGACCCAGGTAGTTGAGCCGTCATGTGTTGCAGGAAGCTGTATGAGAAGCAGAGTAGCTTTCCTGAATCAGCACCTGACATGGGATGCAGATGGCGCAGTGGGGACCTAACCTGTCGCGACACAATGCCTCCCCTGCTGCAGATCTCACTCTCCTTTTCTAAGCTAGACCACCTTAGGGCTCTGTCAGGCGTTTGCTGCCACAGTTCTCTTAGCCTTTTGCTACCTCCCCAGTCCCAGCTTCGCCTTGGAATGAGAAATCATTTTTAGTGACCCATTTCAGTTTTGGCCTCTCTGAGAATACTGATAATGGAGAACTAATGTTGGTTCTGCTTATCGTCTTTCTAACATATATTTCTCTAAGTAAGGACATACTGAGCTCTGTCCCTCATGTTAGAGTATCTTTTTGAGGTGGTACAGTTCTCTATACTATAACCACATGATATGTTGTCTTTTTAGACTTCTCTACATTTATTTTTTAAGTCCAGTTAAGGGATGGGTGTTGTGGCACAGCAGATTAAGCCACCATTGCAATACACACATCCTGTGTCCAGGGTGCTAGTTCCAGTCCCATCTCCTCCACTACTATCCTGCCTTTCTGCTAATGTATCCTGGGCAGCAGTGAACGATAGCTCAAGTGTTTAGGCTTCTGTCACTCACAAGGGAGACCTGGATGGAGTTCAAGGCTCTTGGTTTTGGACTGGCCCAGTCCCGGCTGTTGTAGGCATTTGGGGAATGAACTAGCAGGTGAAGGATATCTCTCTCTCCTCCTCTCTCACTCTCCCCTCATCTCTCCCTCACAAATAGATGAAAATCAATAAAATTGTACTGATTCTAGGAAAACTCATAGAACATGTAAATTCTATTTTATTTTAGACCCCTAGCATTGTGCTTCAGAAAGATACAAGATTGAGTGTCATCGCTGCTTGTTTCTCACACTTTGTGTTCTCATCTCCAGGACAACAAAGTGAATGGGGTAACTTGCTGTACCAGGTTGCTGGGCTGTGCGTACCTCTACCCTTGGATCCTCCCCAAGCCCTACATATCGTCCACTCCTCTTACCATTCAGGATGAGCTGCTGATTCTGGGAAACAAGGCATTGTGGGAACACTTGTCATATGCAGAAGCTGTTAACGCAGTGCGTCATGTACAAGACCCACTAGCAGCAGCCAAGAAGCTGTGCACATTAGCCCAGAGCTATGGTTGCCAGGACAATGTGGGGGCAATGGTGGTTTATTTGAACATTGGTGAGGAAGGGTGCACTTGTGAAATGAATGGACTGACGCTCCCGGGTCCTGTGGGATTTGCTTCAAGCACCACCATCAAGGACGCTCCCAAGCCAACCACTCCTTCGTCTAGTAGCGGCATCGCCTCTGAATTTAGCAGTGAGACGTCCACCTCCGAGGTGAGCAGTGAAGTAGGCTCTACCGCTTCTGACGAGCATAACACTGTGGGCCTAGAGGCTGGCTTGCTTCCAAGGCCAGAGAGGCGCTGCAGCCTCCATCCAACACCCACCTCTGGGGTATTTCAGCGCCAGCCTTCTTGTGCAACCTTCTCCAGTAATCAGTCTGACAATGGCCTAGACAGTGATGATGACCAGCCTGTTGAAGGGGTCATAACCAATGGCAGCAAGGTCGAAGTAGAGGTGGATATCCACTGCTGCAGAGGAAGAGATCTTGAGAGCTCGCCTACTCTTCGGGAGAGTTCTCCCACCCCCTGTCCTGAGGAACCTTCTAGAGGCTTGTGTTTTGGAATCCGCAGACAGAACAGTGTGAATAGTGGCATCCTTCTCCCAATGAGCAAGGACAAGATGGAGTTACAGAAGTCCCCCTCCACTTCCTGTCTCTATGGGAAGAAACTCTCCAACGGTTCCATTGTGCCCCTGGAAGACAGCCTGAATCTCATTGAAGTGGCCACGGAAGTACCCAAGAGGAAAACTGGCTATTTTGCTGCCCCCACTCAGCTGGAACCAGAGGATCAGTTTGTTGTGCCTCGTGACCTGGAGGAGGAAGTGAAGGAGCAAATGAAACAGCATCAGGAGAGCAGACCTGAGCCCGAGCCCAGCGAGGAGGATCGGACTGAGCCCCCGGAGGAGTTTGACACGGCGCTGTGATTCTGCCCGAGCGGGCAAGTGTGAGAGGAGGCTTGGGGGGCTGGGGCGGGGACCTCTGCATTTCTAAACCATAAAAGTGTGGGGTAGAACTCAGAGCCAAAAAGGTGAGCGCTGCCCGGGGCTGGCCCTGGATGAGCCTGGTGAGCCAGCTGCGCCTTCAGTGTTGCCCCCTCTGCCTGTGTTGGGATTCCCGGAGCTGCTGGGCAGTCAGTCAGTCCTACCGCTGCCATTAACCCTTTCTCTCCCAGGAGGGTTTCCGAGAACTTGCCTGCCTGGGCAGGGAGGGGCTCTTTCTGTGGAGGAGGTCATTGAAGATTGATTCCCTTTGCTGATTGCTGCTGATGGATCTCTGTGACAGAGAAAATCACCTTGTCTCACAGACTAACGGGGTGTGATGTGACTCGTCACATGGCTTTCACTCTTCTCTACGAGAATACAGCCTATCAAAATGATGTCTATTGGAAATGTAGAACCAGTCAAACAGCTAATTTATGTATGTAATGTAATGAGAGCACTTTCACTGACTGTGAACTTTTTATTTTTGAATCTGCATTCGAGCCAATGTTAAGATAAAGGCAGCCCAGTGCCTCTGTCCATTAGCAGAGAGATACACGGGGAGTTAGAGCCTTCTTTGAGGGTACTAGGAAGAGGCCTGGGAAAGTGACTTAGCTGTTGGATGTCAGGAACTTGAGGTAGTAGATCTTTTGGGGATGAAGATAGGGCAGGAGTAAGCACAAAGACTGCTTCCTCCCAAATTAGGAAGAGAATTACTCTTTGACAGATGTGACACCTGCTAGGAGTTTCCCAGATCACAGGCATCTGGGGGTTGGCTCCTTTCCCTGACATGTGCTAGAGTTGGCAGGAGGCCTCCTAGTAGGCAGGGTGGAGGCCGACACTGCTGACATCAAAGCAACCTTGAGTTACAGCAAATGACTCTAAGACAGGTGGAGGCCGAATGAGAACAGATGAGTGGACGGAGCTCCCAGGTTAGACTTGTTCCTTCTCTCACTGTAAAGCAGAGAGAGGGTTTTCTAGAATGTTGGAAATGAACTCAGAGCTCACCTGTAATGTTCAACAGTGTACTCTTCTGAAAACTGCATATTCACCTTACTTGGTTCCAGGGTACTGGGCTCAGTAGCAGCATATTGCACATTCCATGTAACCCTAGCAAAATGTAATTCCTTCTTTATTTTTGTCACTTTTTCCATTAGAATATTTACTTAGGAAAATTAATTACTATTTATTTCTATAAAATCTTGGCATTGCTTGATTTTACCTATTAGGGAATGTGCTTTGAATTTTTGGAATACTTTCAACAATTAAGAAAATAGAGTGGAACCCTTTTTGATCTGTTTCATCAGAAACAAAATGTTAAAGATAGAGTTGAATTATATTCCTTTGCGTTTTGAGGAAGTGTTTGTTCAGGGCAGTAGTCAAGAGCCAAGTGGCCCATCCAGAAATGCTGTGTGTCTTCTCTTCTCAGAGCCCTATACCTCTTAGCGTGTGTCAGTGGTATGCTCTTGGGGGTTCGGTACTACTCCAACATAGTGTAATGTTTAACCCCTCAAGAATCTGATCTGGGGTGTCCATGTTGTCAGGAACACTTGACTTTCCTGTGTTGAAACTACTGGTCAGCTACTGCAAACTTTTTGAACTCAGGTCTTTGCTTTGAAATGTGGAACAGAGTGGCTCATACAAAGATGAGGTGCTGTTAGAAAGATGGGAACAAATAGTGTGTGGCCACCTTATTTTTATATGGGAAAATGGAAAAAAAAAAAAAAAGAAAATGAAGGAAAAACCCAGATAGTAATGGATGGTATAAAACATCTTCCTGCACAGACAGCAGAACCTTTGGGTTGTAGAATAGTGATATTGTCCAAAAGTGGAAATTATTTTGGGAACATACCACTTTATAATATAGTCTTATAAAAGTTGTCTGTTATCTTTGAACTCTTTTGTTGTCTTCTGTTTGTTTCCCACCCTGCTCGTTGGCACCACCTCAAAACCCAGCTCTGAAATGACCTTGACAAAAGTAAATGCATTTGCTTTTTAGACTGCAGAGCTCTGAAATTCAGAGGGTTCTTTGGTGTGGTAGAGTGTGTTTTAGGAGCCAGTAGGTTGTGCTAAAAACCTTTAATATGGACTATACCAAAACTGATAATTCTTTTTTTTTCAATCTTCTTTAATTCATAACCTTCTGTAGTTACTCTGTATTAAACAGAGGGTAAAGAGGCCATAGTCCATTACCAAAAAATCTTATTTAAAAAAACTCTTGTGACCTATGACAGAAGAGGTGTTATCTGAGTAGGCCCTGTTGGTGAGAAACAGTCATCGGTCTCCAGGTGGCTGTAACAGCTTTCCAGTTAGGGCTTCACTCCAAGGCTGTGTCCCCAGCGTGGGCCGAGGATGGCTGACTTCCAGCATGGAGATTCTGGCCTCTGCACGATTCTCAGGTCTCGGAATGTACCTCCCGATTCATAAGGAAGTTTAAACAAACGCCTGAAAGAACACCCTGACCATGGAGCAGTTCAGGAGTCCCGTGGAAGGAAGAAAAATACATGTGTCCTGGCAGCCATGATGCTCTATTTTTATCCGAGTGGATTAGAAATCTATTTGAAAATGTGAATGTTGGTATGACATTGAGAGCTATAGTGCTACTGTCGTCAAGTCATTGAATTCCACTCCCGATCCAAGGGAGGGCTTTATTTCACTGCTGCAGAGTGTGTGTGCAATAAGTTGGTGAACTCGTTCTCCTGGTGTGCAAGAGCCAGCAGCTGTGACACTGGGTGCTATTACAACTGCCGGCACCGCGTGCTGTTTCCCAGGAGATGGAGCCAGTTAGGTTTGGCCGATCCACTGACTATCAAACAATGCTCTTCTTTCCATGTAGACCTTCCGTGAAAGCAGGTACTGGGGAGCCACAGGCTCACCTCCTCTATTCAACAATTATTAATGAAGAGACCTCCATAAGGGAGCACATGGCTGTTATCGATAAATGTACCAGTTACTAAAGAATTAGTCTCCAAGCCATTTGGTGATGTCTGCAGCATCACTGTAGAACTGTCTTGTGTCACTTTTTACTTCCCTTTGGTGGGGCCTTCCGGACTCTGCAATCATGGAAGCAAGTTCATCTTTCTCTACAGTTAGTGACTCCCCGCTGGGTAAGCACTTCCTCGATGGAGAGAAGCAGCTACAGCAAACCCTGCTCCGTTTCCCTCCTTTGGTGATCGACCACACATGAGCTCCTGTCGTCTCAAGTTCATGCTCTTCTCCCAGACGCTGTAGGGTTTTCTCTCACTGGTGCCAATGGATGTCATCCAGACAGTGGGCTCATATCTTATGGTTTTGTGCAATCATTGTTGTATTGTAGTCCTAAGACTCATTATAGTGTATTTTTGATATTTTTGAAATGTGTTAAATTTTTTAATTCAATAATATGAGCCAGAGCATGTTGCAGCAAATCTATTGTTTGTAAAAAATAACAATAACAATAATAAATGAAATAAAATGGAATATCTTTTTTCATGGCTTTGTTTTAAAATGGAATGCCTGTTATTTTATAAATCTTGCTAACTCGTGTAGAATTAAGTTCTTAACCCAGAGCACCGTTAGGATTTGTCTGCTTTTCCTTGCATTAGGGGAAGGTAAGCAAGGACAGACACCGGAAACCACATCCATGACGCTCTACAGAGCCGTGAGCCAGTAAGCAGGAGTGGCGAGCACCTGGATATGGCCTCACAAAAGCGTTTGGCCTGGCGCTGCCAAGGCAGTGCAGGCAGGACGCAATTCAGTTCATCTCGAGCAGGCTAATTTTTAAGTTGATTGTCTGTGGCCTGTGAGTGACATCACAGATACCCACACGGGCCTAGGCAGGAAGAGGTTTCCCCATCCCTGCAAGAATGGGTGTTTTTGACCAGTGTTTGAACTAAAACAACAAAGATTTGTACCTTAAGAAACGTGGTACACCTGGATCTGTGTTTCGAGAAAACCCAAAGCCAGGACAGGTTAGTGGCCTCCCTGTCCAGACTCCTGCTGATACAGAGGAGGGAGGCGGCCAGGCTGCCATCCTGCTTTCCTTGAAGTAAATCCTTCAGCTCTCGAACCAGCTTTGGATGTTGTGGTGAGTGTTGGCTCATGAGATAACTTTGGTCCAGCTGAACCTCTCAGTGCTTGCTCTGCCTCCGGGGGGTGTTTTCCATCATCTCTGGACTTCCCAGCAGATTATCTACCTCTACTCCAAATAAAAGCTAAGTTAAAGTCAATGACAGATTTCATCCAGCAGAACAAGTGTTTTAAAAACTTGGTTCGGGGCCGGCGCTGTGGCGTGGTGGGTAAAGCCGCCACCTGCAGTGCTGGCACCCCACATGGGCGCCGGTTCGTGTCCTGGCTGCTCCACTTCCTGTCCAGCTCTCTGCTGTGGCTTGGGAAAGCAGTGAAGGATGATCCAAGCCCTTGGGCCCCTGCACCTATGTGGGAGACCTGGAGGAAGCTCCTGGCTCCTGGCTTTGGATCAGCGCAGCTTCAACCACTGCAGCCAATTGGGAGTGAACCAGCAGATGTAAGACCTTTTCTCTTCTCTTCTCTTCTCTTCTCTTCTCTTCTCTTCTCTTCTCTTCTCTTCTCTTCTCTTCTCTTCTCTTCTCTTCTCTTCTCTTCTCTTCTCTTCTCTTCTCTTCTCTTCTCTTCTTTCTCTCTCTCTCTCTCTCTCTCTCTCTCTCTCTCTCTCTCTCCCTCCCTCCCTCCCTCCCTCCCTCTCCTTCTCTGTGTAACTCTTTCAAGTAAAACAAATAAATCTTTTTTAAAAAAAAATTTGGTTCAATGACTGTTCATTGAGCATCTTTCTTCAGTGTGCGGGGCACTGCTCCCCACCTACTCTAATACCTCTGTCCCTTGGGACACACCCCCTAGTCCCAAGAGGCAGAAATGAAATTCTCTGAGGATTCTGAGGATGGGCTCTGCTTCTTGAAATATCCTCTGGATCACCAAAGGCCACAGAATGCATTCATCACCTGTCGCTCCCCCTCTTCGTGGAGGAACGACACAGGACCCTGCGCTGTTCTTTTGTCTGCTCGGCCCTCCCCGGGTTTGCTGCTGGTTCTTCCCGGGTTGGCTACCGACCCTTCCACCTCCGTGGAAGGGCGGTTCCCCCTGCCACATTCCCCACTTCCGCAGGGGAGCGGCACACCGCCGGCCGGCTCTTCTCGGGGGCTGCACAGGTGTTCCTCTTAGATGTTCCCCTTAGATGTTCCTGGTGCATGCCGTCTCTCTCCTCTTTTATAGTCCTCCTCCGCCAATCCTAACTCGGCTGCCCACACGCCGAGTACGCTGCTCTCCTCCAATTAGGAGCAGGATCAGCTCCTGGAGGTCAGCACTCAAGTTGGCAAGAGGCAGCTGCGTAGAAGCTGTTTTCTCCTCTCCCAGCGCCATATTGTGGGAGAGCAGATGCATAGAATAAGTCTTAATTCCAGTAACTCAGTCCAGTCCGGGTTGCTCCCCACAGATCCTTTCTTTTTATTTTTTGGCGTTGATACGCGCCTGTCTTCGGTGTCCCGCGGCACACACTCTGCTCTGCTTGCTAGAGTTGCCCACAGGTGCTTACAAGTCCTATCAATCAGGCAAACCGAATCCGGGTCCTCTCTTCGCCATGTTGTGAGGAGGTTTTTAGGCGCTGATGCGTGCCTGTGTTCGGTGCCCTGCAGCGCATGCTCTACTCTGCTAGAACTGCCTGCAGGTGCTTACAAGTCCTATCAGGCAAACCGAACCCAAGCCTTCTCATTGCCGTATTGTGGGGAGACTTATTGATGTTGATTCGTGCCTATCTTCGGTGACCTGCAGCTCATACTCTGGTCGAGCTGCCTGCTGGTGCTTACTGCCTTACTAATCAGGCAGACCGAATCCAAGCCTTCTCATTACGGTATTGTGGGGAGACTTATTGATGTTAATTCGTGCCTGTCTTCGGTGACCTGCGGCACATAAGCTGCTAGCCGCCCGCAGGTGCTCACCACCTCCCTAATCAGGCAGACCGAATCCAAGCTCTCTCATTGCCATGTTGTGGGGAGGCCTTATTTTTCTGTTTCTCTATCTCCGGGCATTCCTATTTCTCCTATTTTACTTCTATCTACCAGCATTCTTATTTCTCTCATTTTACTTCTAAACTTCTGTTTCTCTTATCTTCGCGGCTTCCCGGCGCCCGCCCCGAGGCTGCTTCTCTGAGCTGCTCTGAGCCGCTTCAGCCCGCGCCGGCGCCCGCCCTGCGGTGGGCTCCCGGCTCTGCGTGGCTCTGCTCAGCTATGCGCGCACACTCCGCGGTCTCCACGCCCCTTTGCGCCTACACCACGGCCTCGCACTAGCCCCACGTTCCCTATCTATTCACGCCCCGTGCTCTCTCTGCACGCGGTGGCTTCCGCGAGTCACACAGCCCCAGCTCACGTTTCCGCCACCACCGGCATTCAGTCCAAGTTCCCCGGACTAACCTGGCGATTCCAACCTGGCGGCCCACGTCTCTGCCTCTGGTTCCAGATTTTCGCCTTTTGCTCCCCGGGCTGACTTGAAGAATTCCAAGATGGCTTACGTCTCCACCTCGGCCTGCACTCGCGGCTTCATCCTCCCTAACATTTTTCTCTACCCGGTATGTTTCCCTAAGTTTTCTTCCAACAATATTCCTCCCTCATTTCTCCTGGCTTCTCCCCACAGTCCGTATCCGAGTCTGTTTGTTCTAGCTTTCACTTTCGCTTTCGACCTTAGAGATTTCTCCCAGCTTCCCCCCGTAGTCCGTATCTGAGTCTATGCCTAGGCTTTTGATAGCTTCTT